GGGCGCGGCGGGCCCCGCGCTGGCCTTCAGCGAGGACGTGCTGACCGTGTTCGGCGCCAACCGCAGTCTGTCGGCCGCGCAGCTGGAGCGCCTGCTGAAGCAGCTGGGGCGCGCTCCCGCCCTGGGCGCCTTGCAGCCCGGACAGCTGCACTTCAACCAGGTAAGCCCGGCGGCCCCCGCCCCCCAGCCAGGGGCTCAGGAGACCTGGGGAGGGAGTGCCCAGAGACGCGGCGTTCCAAGAGAGGCGCCTCCTGCCCAGCACCAGCTTCTGGGGTGAAAGCGCTGGGCGCTGGTGGGGCTGGGCAGCCAGGAGTGGCAGTTTCAGACAGAGCTGACAGGTCAGACACAATAAACTTTATGGAAAAGTTGAGGAAGTAGCAGAGGGCCGAAGTCGCCTAGGAGGTGCTGGGGCAGGACGGCAAGCTTGCGCCTGGGAGGGAGCCGCCACTGGCCAGGGAGCAGCAGGCAGCCTGTGCACGGAGGGGAAACCCCGCACTGGCCGGCAACCTCCACTGGGCTTTTGGTCAGGTCAGGTGAGGTGTTTGAGTCCAATATCCACCAGCAATAAAAATGCACACACTGTATTGCGTAGGCGTCTGGTCATACCTAGGCTTGAGCGGTGCGCGGAATTTCAAACAGGTGGAATTTGCAGATTCTGACTCGCTTCCCCATAGAGACTGTGCGGTTGGAAGGTCTTGAAACTGGGAGGCAGGAGAGCTCTTTCTGCCCACTGGAGTCTGTTGCGAATGTGCAGCGGGCCAAGCCTGCCCTCCCGTCCTTCCGCTGTTAAAGTAAAACTCAGCTAAGCAGGGCCCCGGCTGTCCCTCGGCCTGAGATACCGAGGGGACCAGCGCGCCCTGCCGCAGTTTCCATCTCGCTTCACGCTTCCGGGCCATGGGCCATGCAGGTTTGTGTCACAGAAAGTTTTTGTGTTCCGCGATGTTTGGCAGATGCGGCCGTCGCAGTCCGCTCTTGAAGTTTCGCACTCACTAAACGCAGCTGACTTTGGATTGGAGTAGGGAAGCGTTCATCAGATAAGTTCCTTGCGATAACCTTAGATAAGTTGGTATCGTTGTTGCAGGTATCTCAGTTTACTTAAAATATTTGAGCTGAGGAAGTGGGGGGGGGGGCTGTTCCCCTGGAGGGCTCTGTGCTCCACCTCTGCTCCTTCTGGCCTCGGATTGCTCTTGGCTTAGTGGCTGAGAGATGACTGCTGGCCAAACGAAAGGCCCACGTGTTACCTTAGCATTTTAGAAAGTCAAACAGAGCAATCGCTTCTGCAGGGTTTTCTGCCTTGTTGCAACCTCTGCTTTTCAAGGAGGGGAAACAGCTGAGCTGACTAGTGCTTCTGGGGGGGGCGGGTGGCGGTCATGTGCTTGCAAGGCAGCTTAGGGTGGTTGTATCTCTAGCCCACACATTGTTTAGACTCAAATTATCTCTTTATCCTGCAGTATCTGGAGGTGCTGATGAAAGATACAAGGAGACAGGACCCCCAATCACTCCTTAGCAAAGACACTAGAAAACACGCCTAGATTATGTGCGAAGGTTGGTTACGTTTATGAGTGATATGGCTCCCGGTTTATGAGTGTGCAGGACGCCTCAATAGGCAAATTACAGGTATGTTGGTACCTCCCTGCTGCTCAGGTTTGCACCCTTGACTGCACTCATTATGACTCTGTGGGCATCAAAAAGAGACAGGGAGAAGCCCATAATTACTTTGATACAAAAGGATGCCAAGAAAAATTCATCTCTTCATCAGGCCTAACAAACATCTATTTGATGTTCTAAAAAGTCCTCATGAAAGCAGCAGTCATCACTTAACTGATGACAAATGAATTGCCCTTCCAGAAGGACCTATTCATTTGCTGGCATTCATATCTGCTTCTGCAGGAAATGATCAATTAGGAGCAATATTCAGGCCATAAATGTCTTCATACCTTAAAGAATGCAATTTCAGTTTCCTCAGCTGCAAGAAGGAGGAGCTGGAAAGAGGCCGAGAAGCAGAATTTGTTTCTATGGGCCAGGGGGGTTTACTGACTCTTCAACAAACCTGCTGAGAACTGGGGCGCCCCTCCGGATGGCAGCTGCATGCTGACTTGGCCGGCTGCCGGTACGGCCTGCGACGCTAGAGCATGCCGGGTAACTTGGGAGGTTTTCTGTAGAATTTCCTTAAGTGCCATGAAATTAACTTGTCGTTTAGGGAGACCACAGTGTCCTGTGTTCAACTGGTGACAATAGAACAATTGAGTTTTGTTTCTTATGGTTACCAAGGCGACAAGAACAGGTAAAGTCTTGTAGCCACTGGGCCTGGGTGTAGTCTGACCTCTCTTGGGGAGCCCAGCTGTGGGATACCCCTGGTTGGCGCCTGTTATTTTCTCTTCCTTCTTTTTTTTTTTTCCAAAATATTTATTTATTGATGCATACAGAACTGGGGTACAGGCCAGAGGGGTAGGGGCGACGAGAGGAGTCACCAGAGACAGAGCGGGGAGCAGAACAGGCCGGCTGTCTTAAGTGCACTGCTGAGGGGAGCAGCGGGCGGGTCAGGGGAGGTCTGCCGCGCCCTGTGGGTCAGCTCCCGGGCCAGGATCAGACTCGCACTGAAGTGGCTGTGGCCAGCTTGCAGTGCTGCGTCCCAACCCGTTGCGCCACCAGGGAGGGCCTTCTCTTCCTTCTTAAATCCACTTTACCTCCAGGTGCTTCTGTGCAGTCACCTAGACAGCTTGATGAAAAGAAAGCTCCTGTTTGTCCAGATGATTGCATTAGCTTCTGGAAATGTGTCCTTTCAGATGAATGGTCTCCCAGGTAGTCCTGTGGGGGGTGGGGGGCAGGAGGCTCCCTCTTCAGTTCCTGCTCAGTCTTTCGAAGGAGGCGCCCGGAGCCCCTCTGCAAAGATCAGGGGTGCCACCCAGTCAGGGCGCTGGCTCTCAGGCCCTGCCCTGCCCGCTGACCACCGCTCCCTGCCCTTGGCACTGCCCATAACTCACCTGCAGTTGGGTTGGCGCCGGTCTTCCCCAGCTTCCGTCCTTTCCCTGGCAAATCCTGCCATGGCCCTGGAGGCTTGGGGACCCACTAAACTCCAGAAAACTGTCCCAGCTCCCCAGCCAGGATGGGCTTGCTGATTGCCCCCATTTTTGATTCCTGAAATGTTTTTATTTATTTATTCGTACAGAACTGGGGTACAGGCCAGAGATGTGGAAGGTGAGAGGCTTCACCAGAGACAGAGCGGGGAGCAGGACAGGCAGATGGACGAAGTCCACTGCTGAGGGGAGCAGCGGGCGGGTCAGGAGAGGGCTGCCCACCATGTGGGTCACCTCCGGGGCAGGCGGGGATCGAACGCGTGCGGACATGGCTTAAGCTTCTCAGTGCTGTGCAGTAACCCGCTGCGCCCCCAGGGAGGGCCCCTGAAATGGTTTGTAAAGTAGCCGCAGCTGACCGTGTGTTCAGCATACGTGGCGAGTCGGCTCTCCGTCCGTCAGCGCGGCCACTCGGAAGCTCAGTTCTTATCCCGTCACTCTCCTTGCTCACCCTCAGGATGGCTTCAGGTTGACCTCAGGCATGTCGCTGTGGCTCCAGAGCCCTCTGTACCTGGCGCTGCCCTCCGGCGTGGCCACGGCCAGCTGGCTCTGCCGCTGCTCGTCCCGCAGGTGCCTGCACAGGCGTCACTGGCAGCCTGTCCCCACCGGCGGCGGGCAGGCGCCCTCCACGTCACCCTGTACCTGTCAGGGCCTGGGCACGTCATCTCAGTGTCCACAGTGTCCACGCAGGAAGGCGGCCTCCCTGCCCCCACAGTCCTAACAGCCTGAACTCAGGGGGCTAGCGTTGCCTCCCGTCCACGGCTCCTGTAGTCCCCGCTGCGTCAGGTGTATCCACCTGGAACGCTGGGGTTGCAGGGAGGAAGGTGACAGGGCCTCACGCACTTAGCCTCTTTCTGGGGGAGAGCTGGCGCTTGCGGTGAGCTGTAACGCCAGCGGCGCGCTTGGCGTGCTCCCTTGAGCGGAAGGAGTGGAGGGCGCTGCAGGGCCTGCGGCACAGAGAGGCTCCCGGCCAGCACAGCGCGGCCGGAGGGTGCGGCGTGCCCTGCACGTGCTTTCCGAGCTGGCCTCCTGCTGCAGAGGCCTTTTCGCTGTCAGGCATCCGCCTTCACTCGCTCCCGCTCCCGGCTGTGATTCCCACAGCGCCCCTCCCAGCGCCCCTCCCAGCGCCCCTGGGCGTGATGAAGCGGGGGCTGTGGAACACGCAGGAGGGCTGTGTGCGTGCACGCGTGTGCGTGTGTGCGCGTGGTGGCTGCACACGTGGTAGCGTGGCCTGCGGTCATCGTGGCCCTCTCCCCAGGGTCGCTGGGGCAGCGGTGGGTGAGCAGAGGGGTGCTGGGGAGCCCTGACCGCGGCGTGGTGTGCGGAGGGAGAGCGCACTTCTGCTCTATCCTGGCCTGTGCATCCTGAGACGCCGCGGTGAACGGAGGGAGGCCGGGACACGGACACACAGGCGCGCCCCACGCCCCTGCAGACCTCGGCCGCTCGCTACTCAGTGGACAGCGTCAGCTTTGTTTCCAGGAGGCTTCGGGGAATGAGGCACACTCATACTCCCCTGCCTGTGGTGGCGAGAGCTTAGTTTGCCTGCGCGCCAGGGTCGCGCGGTCCTTGTGGGAAGGGGCCCTACTTCCTCTCCATTGCCGGCTCCCCGACTGACACCCCTGCTCCGGCCACAGGAGGCACATGGCCCTTTTGGACGTGACATAACGTCGCCATCTCTGGGATGTGTCGGCTTGCGCTACTGGGCGTGACTTGTAGCCACTCTCAGTGTGCTGGCATCTTCCACCCCAAGCAGCCCTGTGGTAAACCCGATATCGGCTTCAGAATGGGGTCCAGGAGTCGAAGGACTTGACCGGGGCCACGCAGTGAGAGGCGGGCCCAGGCTGCGCTCTGCTCCGTGCTGTAGCAGGGGCCTTGAACTGTAGTCTCGAAAATCCCAGGGCAGCTCTGAGCTCTGACTTTGGGGTGTGGGAGTCTCGACATCAGCCGTGCGTGCAGGCCCACCACTGGGCCACGGAGCCAAGACAGACCGCCGAGAGGGCCCGGTCCTCAGGGCTCAGTCTGGTGTGGAATGAGGTGGGCACTCGTGAAGTGGACACGGACATTAGGAGCCGGGAGCGCCGTGGCG